GSTAACTAGGGCAAACTCCTTAGYTTGTTGACTCATATGTATTTCAGAGGTTTATGAATGTCACTCAAGTTCAGATTTGAATTAGAAAATAACAATTTCCACTTGTTTTGTCCATTCTATGTGGTGGATTATGAGTYCCAGTCCCCACTGGTTAAGACAAGCACAGGAAGCCCAATGAGCACTAAAACTTTACCATCAATCATGTAACATTTTGGTCTAATCTATTAATTATTGCAAAAGACTAACTCTACAATGAAAATAATTTTGTACAATTTGGTAAATTAGTTGCAGATGGAGTGAAGGGTTCAGGTTTAAACGTAGAAAACACGGACTCTTGAAGTACTGACTAGTAGGTTGGCATCATAAAACCTTGTTTCTATCACAACATTCCCACTGAAATCAAGAAAATCACATACTTAGACAATGCGGAAGCAAAAATTAGTATTACATGCATCTTTGTTTCTAATAARTCTGAGTTCAAAAACATAAAAAGTGCAAAAACATTCTCAAAGAATTTTTTAAGTGAGAATTTTGGAAGGTTCTGGGATGAACTTGGGCCAAGTTAAAGGGACACTGTCAATGGATGACATGCGCGAGTAAACTTGAAAACACTAGGCTAGTGTCTAGTGTTTTCAAGTTTATGACTCCAAGTTGACGCGACATAAATCAGATCGTAAACGTAAATAGATCTAGAATATTCCAAAGTGTGTCAAAAGCACCACAAAATCATTTACCTCGAAGGTTATACTTTCAAAGTCCGTTAAAGGTGAGACTGTTACTGCGCATGTCATCCATTGACAGTGTCCCTTTAATGAAATCCTACGTTCCTAAACCCTAATTTCCCCCTTTCCAAGTTGTTTTATAAGAGTTTTACTTACTTCAAGACATTAGCAGGCATCATTTGTGATTCAGGGGCTGCTTCGATGAGTGACTGCCAAGTGTTAGTTGATGATGGGATCACAAATCCAAAATCAAAGTACCATTCTGTCAAAATACACAAAATATTTTTATACGTTGAATAAAATTAAACAAAATACCAACTTGAAGCTATAATAATTATTCTGTTTTATTGTATGTTTCAGMACTTTGGCCTTCTTCATATATATATCACTTAAAGATTTGTCAAAAACATTTTACAAAACTTTACAAATTCAAACATTTTCACTCAGGGGATGTTTAAAAAAACATTCACATTTGGAGATTTGGAGAACTTGTGTAGACTTAAACTGTATTCTGTTTGGGCTCCCTGTGGAATGTACTAAAGCCAAAGGCCTCCCATCTTAGTTAAGTTTTTGTCTCAACACAGGAAGCCCATTACTATTAGTTTASCATTTACCTTCTAAACACTTTCCTTTAAACAATACTTTTTGTTCCAGTCTGAATTTATTCATTTCTTCGTGTGAGGAGAAGTTGATTTCTCTAGAAACTGCTTTGCATTTCAATATCTTTTTAGGAACTCTGGCTGAAAATATTTAAAATATCAACAAACATAAGTGCTTGCAAAAAATKAGGTATGAGTGAATGAATACACTCTGGTATTATACACAGAATATGCAATTTACACAAGATGGTTTAATYAATAGTTTTAAAAGTGATATCTTAAAACCTACCTTCATGTTCAACACCTGGAATCGACCTAAAAAAGGAAAAAAAATTAAAATAAAATAATGATTTTGACTGTTCCTCAGAAAACTACCATCATTATTTTATTTGTCAGTATTTATGTGTCATGTACGATACTTGCAGGTGACTAACACTAATCTAGCTTTACAGATAGTTTTTACCCCCTATATATCATCTCAAGTCATGTGCCGAATATTGTGGCACCTCTTGGGTCAAAAGAAAAGTTTGTTCCAACACAGGCAGCCCAACTAACAAAACATGAACAATAGCTACACAAAAAAATATATTCCTAATATTGACTGTATTTCAATTTATTTTCTTTAATATGGTGATTATACTTACAAGTCTTCGCTTCCTTGCCATAATATTTTACCATTGTCAGCATCTCKTAGATTCATCCAGTTACTATAGTAACAAGTTAAGGCTGACAGGCAGTTTATCATTTTCAAACATCGTTGAGTTTCAAAAGATAAAAGACGAGCGGCCATGTTGGAGGAATGAACAATAGACACTTATGAGAATGAGAAATCCTTTGTTGAAGTTCCTCTAAGATGGCCACTGTGATGTATAGTGATAACTAAGAATATATTGAGGCTGTAAATATGTCACAGATTTTTCTAACATAATAATGCAATTTTATTAGCACTTGGATGCTGGCACAAGAAAGAAAAACCTCAGTGTGTTTTATATTTGAAATKTGTTGAAGTTGAAACAGTCAGCATGTTGGCCGTAAAAAGACAAATTTACAGTAGAAAGAGGGAAAACTGATGTCTTTACCAAGAAACAAGAAAAAGAAGAAACAGCACACATACACACCATTGATTTTTTACTCTGTGTTAGGATAGTTTATCTTTAYATCACAGCTGTTTAAGAAACTAACTCCACAAAATGAAAAAACTTGATTTACTGATGAATAGATAGAAAACATGAAAAGATTGGCTTTAAATTACATTTTAATAAATCCATGGTATTGCACTAGGAAAAGGAAAATTTAGAATGATATAATTGGTTCTAATCTAAATCATTTTTTACCAATTTGATCTTACTCTTTATTTGAAACTTTATATTTGAAACATAATTGATTTAGTCAGAGCAGGTGTTTTCAATGAAAAGGGTCCAACCAAGGTTAAATTACAASTATGCATTTACTTATTATATTATGTTTGTTAAAACTTTATCACATGGTTACCTTGGAAACACAAGGTTAATTTAAACTTGTCTACATTAAACTCTAACATTAAAAAAGGACAGAATATCACAAGACTGTTATAAACCTTTAAAAATCTCTATTATAATGCATTGATCCAGGAGGCAAATCATTTTATATAAGAGATGAATCAAACATACATTAGCTATGACACAATAGAACTCAACAGTTTACTGATAACTTCAATTTCCCATTTAGATTTCATGTGAAAGTGGTTGCGAGGTTTTTCTATTTGACAACCTAAGTGGTCATACTATAGAAAAGCATGGTTCACACTAATAACAAGAGGTTKCTACTTATTCCGAAGCTACATGAATGAGCAATAAGACATATCAGTCAATATAGGCACCCTTGAAACTCATATGTAGCCTKTATAACTATTACTGACTAATGAGTCCACATGGATTATATATTATAAATGAATATGAAGAATATCTTTTAAAAGTTTGGTCTTATATTCTAATAAAACAAAGATCTGATGATGTCTTGATCATAATCTTGTTGTGAAGAAGTACTGTGTTATATATTTTGAAATGATCACATTTAAATTCTTATAATTATTGTTGTTATCTACATTATCTATAGAAACTGTGGCTGGTTGTATGAATGGTGTGAAGATAAATCCTTAGCCAATAGATAAAATCCACACAAAATCTATGAARGATGACCAGATCTAGTAGATTCTTTCTACAATCAACAACTGTAACTATAAACTCACAAGTTTATAAGAAAAGCTACATTTATACAACATTGTGTACATGTATTATGTASATAATATTGAATTGGCTGACCTACTGATAAACTGATGCCAAATTTGTATTAAAGACAGAAYTTTTCACTTTGACATAAATGTAACTGTGTTACCTGCAAAAAAAGACAATTGTRCAATGCCTTTCAATACAAAAGTATGCTGTCCCCTTTCAACACCTGCAAGAGATCAGATTTCTAGACTTCAAACTGTCAAAACATGATGTATTAACAACTGGCAGACATTGCATGATTTGATAAAAAATCGATAAAATTGAACAGAGCTTATGACACCATTCCGTTTCAGACGAATAGTTTTGTAAAATTATCATTGTACAACATTTCTGCTCGAACAAAAATAATATTATTATAATGTCTGACATTATTACAATAAAACTTTCGAYAGAGAAGTTAATATTTTGCATTTATAACAAAAAGGTTTGAAAATATTCAGTGAAAGTCTGGTGGTGCTCTTGGTTTATATCCATGGCAATGGGGACGCTATTCAATGCTTGGGCAATTACATGTTTTTTCGACCAACAAATACYMAAATCACGCCCATTTTGCTGCCAAAACTGYAAAATWTCTGCAAGTTAGAATTATAGTKTTTGAAGGACTTGCCTAAAAAATACGGAGACACAATAACAATTTAACTTATGATGGTTAGCAACAGAGAGCTTGAAAGAAAAATCTTAATTAGACGTAGCACGTTTATAGACAATTTATACTCGTTTTTTTCTACACGAGTCATTTTATAAACACGGTAAGATAAAAATTGAAAGTCTAATAGCGTTAAGAACGACAAGCCTGCTAAGAAGATATACTAAGAGTAAGTTTAGTGTCTAAAATTGAGTGTATTTAGATGCGAAATAAAATAAACAATCTCTGGAACGAATGTGTACACCGACGGAGTAACACTGCACCCAACAAAATTTAGTTGTTGCCGCAAATTTAACGCTTCCTGGAATATCTGAAATACATCAGTGTGATAAATTAAAGATTGATTTCAAGATCGAGCCCTAAAGAAGACAAATATCGATAAAACTACAACAATAATGTAGAAATTTATGCTTAGAGAAAGGATACAGCTTGAAACCCTCCATAATTTTCTTGCCTCTTTGTTCGATTTCGTTTGACATTTTGCCAATAAATCCACTATTTTACCACGTACGAAGAATAAATTGAAACTCAGGTCTTCTGTCTAGACCCTAAAGAGCCAAGAAGTTGGAAGAAAACATTAAAAATCCTTGCAAATTCCGTTTTCTCCAAGATTTTTCAACTTGCTGAACTTTCGCGGTCCTACAGATCACGTGATCGTCACTCCTCACATTGCATTATGGGAGATTTGGAGTTTGTGATGTGCGCAAAATAACTATTTTTTAAATAAATGCACAAAAGCGACAGCAGTTCATCTTTTTTTCTTGGACATCATAGCGTCATCAATATCATAAAATAACACGTAATTTGTGATGGATGGCATAAAAGTCGATTTCCGGAAATATTTTGCTTTGTGATTGACCAAAATCAATGGGTGACAATCCAATGTTCAATGAAAAAGCTATCARTTGGCAAATCTTGTATTTTATATTATAATATCATGACCCAATAGTCAACATGAAGCTAAGACATCCAAAGACAATAGGATTCACAAACAAACTAACCACCRAACGAATTAATCACAAAATCAATGGGTCAATATATGAAAGGCACTCTTGTCATATACAACTACAACTCAGTCATTATTTGTCACAAAAGTTTTATCCAGTCAATCAAATCCACTCGACCAATGAAACAAGTRCATTTTATTAGCTTTCTGAAAGTAGTGTGGATACCTTAGCATTTAAATGGTTCAGGTTTCAGCATAATATTTCCACACAGAGTCAAATTGCAATTGAGCGAACCGCAAAATTATTTTGTTTGTTTTACAATGAAGTGAACTTCTTTCAGTCGTAACTGATACTGATATTGTTTTACAAAATTCATGATTGCATCCGGATTTGCTGCCTTTGAAACCTGTAACTCTAGGTCACACTTTAACGCGTGGCCATGACATTGAATTGGCTTCCTTAGATCCTTGTTCACGAGGGCGTGTACCTTTGTAAAAGGGATGTAACTCTATTGTTTTCTTTTATAGTGCGGACAAAATAATTAAGTTATTCCATATACTACATACTATAGAGGCACCCCGCTCGTAAATGTCAACAGGATCCTTGCARACCAGCTTATAGGGCAATGATAACAGGTCGTGGYTGCCTTTCTCTTTTTTTGATATCGTGCTTTTTGACCGTGTCGGCAAAAACCTGTTGTGAGCTGTGAGTCATAACTAARGGATGCGTTCATGTACTGGTACCAGTGATCTTATAGCTTGTACTTGCACACCTTCAACTCTGCATTGAAATAAAAAAGAATCATTTCTTTTTTCTTTTTTGTCATCCTTCATCTTTCAAAGCATTTATAGTGACATTAAATTTTCTGTATAGAAAAAGTTCTGTCCTTAAAAAATGATTTTAAATTATTTTTAATTGAATTTTGCTCTGCAAGATCATCATTCATTGTTGTAAACCGTTTTATATTCTTATACCCTTAAATTACTCTTACAAAAAAACTCTTAATTGTATTGTTGAAAAAAACATCTGGAAATCTGAGACAAGAAATGATTTTTAACCTGACTAAATTACTTTCTAAGTTGCTTTAGCATACATTTTTCTAAATCTCAGGCTGACAATGACGTTTTGGCTCGATTTTCAATTACCTCAACTTTTATTTAATCTCAACCCTAAAAGTATATGCATAAGTATATCAAAACTACAAATTAACGAATAGTCGTGAACACTGGATACAGTGTTATTGTTCACCTATATACTAATAGAAATTGTTTTTTGCAAAGAAATGTTTCCGGCACTAAATTCAGAAAGAAAGTGTTTTAAGAACACCTCAATGTATGGGAAAAGACCTTTTCAATGCAGAAAAAAATATTACGATTAATGAAATGAAGTATACTTCTACAAGTAATGTTAAAACATTTGATATTTGTATAATTTATTGCACAAAAGTATCTGGAAATTTTAAGCTTTTTTGTACATAGAGATTCCCAATCGGGATCACTTCATTGTGTTGYATTGATTTATTTATTTGTAATACTTTAGAAATTCTGTGTTGTAAGACTTCACATGTGTGTTTTAAGCGCGATATCGCACGTGCTTCTTTGTGCGGAGTTCGGGTCGTACTCGCCTATTAAGACCACACGTGTTCCGCGCGTGTTCAGGATAAAAACCTGTAGAAATTTCATTTGTTACATTTCTAAAGAACAAGTAATAGAAATACAGTGCGCTGAAAAGCCTTGATAAAAAAAACTTGAATTCGCGCAATTTATATAAGCTTTCACTTTGAAGAAAATCGCTCGAATGGAAAGTTCCAAACCAGGTTTACTTGTGGGGGTTTCCGCTGAGCATAGAGTTTCGCGACCGTCGTAGCAGTCCTTTATGTTAATGCTTGTGGCCCATATAGCCAATTAACCTGATTTACATTTTCCATTGTGATTTGATTTATTTAAATTCTCTCAAAGCGCGCACAAAGAAAACTACACAAAAAACATGATCGGATGATCGAGGGGCTGGCAGATGGACTGAGAAGCCGACACAACTCATTTTCAGAAGTATAATGATCGCTTCTAAAACATTACACTCTTAAGAAAACGGTAACCGAGCACTTAGTGTGGCTGACTSATAATTTCTTTGATCTACATAAACATGAAACCACCGATAGTTTTCAGTCCTATCGTGAACCGCGCTCGCAAGTTCTTRAAAATTGGGAATCGGGATGAGAATAGCYCTGGGCGACAGACTTATAAAGGTATAAGCTTCGCAAACGACGTYTACCAGCAGACTTGCAAGCCAATAGAGACTATAGACAACGGCTCAAGAAGGAGCTCGATTAGTTCATGGTACAGGAACTCAGCGTCTAACGTCCCGGTAGACGAACAAAGTCTAAGTCCACGTTCTTCTGTTAGAGTGTATGATTCTCTRTGGGGCAGGAAATCTGAACGTAAAATATCGGCTGCGAAATGTAATGATTACGAAGAGGTTGATGAATTCAGCGAGCCGCCTAAAATGGATGAAGGAATTTTTACATTCGAGGTAAGTGTTTTGGTATTTTGTAATCAAGTTCGATTATTATGACTAATTCACKTCAAAGTTACAATAGTACGAATGTTGCTTGGTCGGAGAAGCACTCTAACGGTAATAATAATCTAATTTCTTGAGAGATAAGATCTAGTTTTTGAAGCAAACATTGCATATTTGTTTACAAATATTTTGAATATCTTTCTCCAAGAGTAAAAAAAATCAACATGATCACGAAGTCAGGGTTTGCGCGCGGGTAATTTAACACACGTGTTCGATGGAAAACCAACAATATGYTAGCTCTAAAACCAGCATTTCAATGGCTTCTCGACGAACGCTGTAATCTATTGATAAAGTTTTCYATCGGCATTGAACTGGATTCCGTAACGCTTAAATGGTTTCTAGCATGTACATTGAAATGTATAGTCTTTGTAGTGGATTCCGAACACAATAAACTTAAGCTTATGTAATATTAACAACTGCTAGTGTTTCGGAAATGCTTTTTTTATATTCAAGAGATACTAGAGGAAGTTAAGTAATACGTCTTCTTTCTGATGAAACAAGTTTTGTTTTAATTAATATCGTAGGTTGAAAACAACACGGTGAATGAGCACAGTATGTGCCGCGGAAACGCCCCGCATTTTTGACAACAAAACCCAATCCTTTCTCGTCAAATTAATCTCAATTTAAACACAAAAATATTCTTACTTAAATAAATTTCTTTSGCTACGGGCTTAGTCTTTATTGTGAATAATTTGTTTCCAGCATTATGGTTTTGTATTGTTTATAAATTCAAAGATGTTTTATCGACGCTGGCACCAGCGGTGATGCTTTGCGAAATTCACAGCGGAAGAAAAACTCGCTTTGTTCTTAGTCACCCATTGAAAGATAAGATAYAAAAAATTTGTGACACTTTCTTASCAATTCAAAAGGAAATGYTCTTCCATGCTATGAATAGTGTTTGTAAAACGCTTTTTAGTGTCAAGTTAAACTCAAAAACTTAATGATAAGCAAAACGGATTATAATATTTAATTTTCTTGCGAATAATGCATAGCTTRAACTCTATGATTTCTTCAAAATATCAAATATATCTCCAAGGGCTAACATAATATAAAATATTTGGAAAATATGGCTATTTATGCAGTTTTCAAGAGCTGCGGTGAATATTTTTTAAGAATGCTTGTAAATGCAAGGAGATCTCTTTTCCCGCTTTTTTCTTTCATTGATAAGTGATAAAATTAGGTTTGCAAATGTCTGTTCAAAGCTAAAAGCATTATTATACCAGGAAATAAGAAGCTTTTAGATGGAAAATCTAATACACTAATCTGAATATCGTGTCATAAGCGAAAAACAATCACTATAAGCAAGCCAACTATACAAAAACAACAATAAAAGATATTCTATAGAGAAAACAACTACAATTTGATCATTACTTTGCGCGCGCTTAACTTAGTATCACAATTTTATGTTGCACAGGTAATAAGGTTGTGTGCCATTTTAGTGTAAAAATCTGATARCAAATCAATTGTATTTATAGTGTAGCCCAGCAAACAGAAAGAAAACAAACTTAATATGTTGTGTGAAGTACGTTACATGGTCCAACCGCTTTTTCAAAAAAATAATAACTACTTTCCAACGCTCTTTTGTTTATAACGGAAAAAGATAAGTTTGCAATATTTCACTTAATTTTTATCGAAGGGTAAATTTAACTCAACCTTTGCGTGAGTATGGAAATGCAATTTCTCGTCGTGTTTTTTTTAATATTGTTTATGATTTGTGGTTTTGAAGCGGTTTTTATCATGTTTTAAAGCAAGTAATGTTAGTTTTAGTCAATTGTGGCGACAGGTGAAAGACTTGAAAGGGAAGGATGTACGCGCGCGCACTTTTGGCGCCAAAAAATGCCTTTGTTAAAGGTCAGTTACCTTTTTAGCTAATTCATCTGAAAATCTCAGTTTTATTCGTTTTATAAAATAATAGTTGTTATTCTTTATCAAATACGAAGAAATTCAGCGACTTATAAGAATAAGAAGACTTAATTGAGCTCTTTTGAAATTCGCTCAAATCAATCCTCAGTACTCGATCTGAAATCAACTTGTGTCCACACAATATATGATTGTCTTCAAAAACGAAAATGTGGCAAAAGTACGAAGAAACATAAGGATAAGATAAAATGCTGTTAAGTATTCCGATTTATTATGGCAATGATTAGAATTAAAACCAGAAAAACGAGAATTACAATAATGAACAATAACGTTGTTCTTCAGCTATAATCATGACACAAACAAAGATAGCTAGCTTCCGGGTCGTTAACGAAAGCAATTAAGCGTTAGGGGACTCAATAAACATGGAAAAATCCCTCTAAATGAGCCCATGAAAACTTGGGCAAACACTGTCTCGCAAATATTAACAAACAGTATTTGAAAAGTTGACTTGTGAGTTCCGGCACATTTTGGTTCTGGCACTTTGATTTTTTTCATTACATTTATTTGAAGTGCTTGGAATTAAGCTTTTACACAATAATACATAGTAACTAAATAGTTCTAGTGAACATACCACAATTGAATGATGTAATTTCTCATTTTTATCACTTCAGTTAATTAAACCCCCCAATGGCTACCTGGGAYTGGTTCTAGTTGGAGGCACAGACACCCCRCTCCAAAAGCACTACATTAAAGATATTTTACCCAATTCCACCGCGTCCAAAGATGGTAGCTTACGGATTGGGGACGAGATAATCGAAGTGAATGGTCACTCTCTCCGTGGACGGACACACAGCTTAGCTCTAGCTGTCATCCAYTCKTTACCTCCTCTTATCAAAATCGTCATCGAGAGATCAAAAGACGCAAAYCGRTCAATTCTTTCATCGTGYTTGTATCAAGAGGATTTTGAGAAAGTTAAGGCAGGCGCAGATCCGAACATCACTTCACCTAAAGCGCGCACGCGCAAACGAAGTGTCCTCCAAGCTGCCAACGATACAAGCATCATYAATAAATCYGTGAACAGCGTCATTAACATCCAAAGAACTGGTTCTAGTGCWAGTAYAAAACCTGCTAAACTGGTCAGACGGGAATCACGATGTACGTCATTCATAGGTGATGATGACAGCGAAGATGATGATGAAGGCATTACGTTTGAGTGYGAGGAGACAAAAAGTGTTAAGGAGGGAGGAGTCCCTGAGGAGAGTAGCGACTATGACGATAGGCTGAGCATGTTGAGCAATACATCAGCGTGGTGTGCGAGACAGGTAACCCAGTCTTTTAAGCTATTTTTTTTTATTTTTTGTTACAGTTGTTGATGCTTTAGGTATTGTCATTGCTTTTGCTGTCTATAAGTGTTGTTGATGGTGTTGTTGCTGCTGTTGTTATTGTCATTGTTGTTGTTGCTGCTACTGTAACGTTGTTGTTGATGATGATGGTGATTGTTAAATGATGATTGATCTAGACAAGGCTGTTCATTGGCTGATTGACGCACATATAGCAACATTGATAACTATGTAGTAACATCCCACTCATGTTTTTTTCAGTTGATGAACAGCAAGGCAGAAGACCAGACATCGAATCATCAAGATGCAGACAGCATGACCGACTCAACCTCCGTATTTTCTATGAGTACGTTATCAGATAGCCTACCTCCCCCTTACACTGAACAAGAACCTCCTCAAGAACAATCCTCCTTTACKCGTTAYGGSTCACTTAGGAGGTCGTCACGAAGGGTGGTAACAGAGTCCATAATCGAGGTGGGTTCGGATGAAGAGGGAGAAAAGGTACAWGAGGAACCAGCAATGTTTTTACGTCGAGGGTCCTTAAGAGCTCGAGGGAGCTTCAGTCTCAGGGGAACTGCTGGTTGCGAAGAAAGTGAAGACGAAAGAACAACATGGCCGACCACCGCACGCAGACAAAGGACCTCATTGAACTGGGACACTTTTGTACCACCTCCAAACAAGCCCCTCAGAAGAAGTAACTCTGCTTGTGTAAGGAGGCCCTCGTCGATGTACGCTGCAGATAATGTCCCTACGTCCACTACACAATCAACAATCGCCGAGGAACCGAATAACTCAAATCCACGTAAATTACAAMGGACAAATAGCGGGAGGTTCATTGACAAAAGAACAATGACAACTAAAGTCTACCGGGTACCAAATACCGGGCAATGGCCCTTAACGATTGCCGGAGGATCGTATTCCCCGTACGGGGATTTACCAATACACGTCTTACACATACAGGACTCTTTGTTTGCCGGGTTGTTGAAAGATGGCGACGAAATAATTTCATTCGGAGGAGAAAACTTTAGCAATGTTACGTTTTTGGAAGCGGACAGGAAAATGAAAAACATTGAAGGCAATTGCGTTACGGTGATAGCCAAACGTAAATTTCTACAACGTAAGAAAACRCAAATTTGYACGACTTACGCAGACGCATGGAATGAACAGGCTCGTTCAGCAAGACGGCTGAAAACGAGACCYGAATCTTTGTATTGTTAATGACAATAGTTTARTTTACATACTACACTGACAAGCCTGTTTCACAGGAATAACGCAAGCACAAGCATAAACAGAGACGTAGTAAACAWAAAAAGCAAACTCAAAAACAAACTCGGATAACTAGAACCATAATCACAATCACAAGAAAATGATTCCTTACGTACTGTTAACGTTTGCGCTTGCGTTTCTTGGCACATTTATCAAGCATGCGCAAATATTCTTTGGCTTCGTTTTTCTTTTTCGGTCGTCACTCCAGATCCTTTATCTGTGTACTGATACTCGACGTTTAGCCCGCTTTGCACTGTGGTAGGAAGGTATTTATCGCATGGTAGCACGATGCGTGTATCCGTGACAAAATACGCAGTATATGCACATATGAGATCTGCAAACAAATTTCTTTATTTTCTAGTATTGTTTTATTATCTATTTGACATACGTAGACTTAGGACAAAGGGCTTTTATCATGCAAACAGCCAAGCAAAGCCAAAGTGAATGAGTAACTAGCACACAACCCGATCAAATAAAACAACCGTAGTATTTTAAATTTTCACATTCTTTAGCTACAATAGAATCAAAAATATGGGATCTGTTGCTATTTCTCATTTGCGTTTCAGTAAATGTAACTTTTCTGAGACGTTGAGAATGT